GTTGCTTAAAAACTATACATTTGTTTGAAATTGTAGTACTTTTTCTTCTCCAAGGTAATTTTCAAGAGTTCCAAATAAATTTCTTCAGTTTGTGAGGCAGAAATGCCAACAGTGCTATACAAATTACCAGAATGTTTCACAATTCTTCTAGAAATACCTGTCAGAAAAATTCTTTTGAGGGAACACATGGTGGCATTTTTTTCTTGCCATCAGCAAAATGTATCTATCCATATGAAGAGTCTGAGGTGTTAAGGATGAAAACTTGCAGGAAAGCAGTAACATTTAAAAGATAAAGAAAACCAACTGAAGATCCAGAATAAGTAGGTTACTGAAATCCAGCACCATCTTCATCGTTTGCGAAATCCGGCCATTGGAAAGAGAAGACTGGAAGTGAGGTTTGGGCTTCTGCCACTTACCTGGTTGTGTGACTTTGGCAAAATAGCAATCTCTTTGTGTATTTTTTTGTTCTATATGTGCATCAGATAAAAATTTTGTGTAAACTTTAAAGCACCAAATGAATATGATCTATGTGTACATCAAAAAAAAATCTCATGTGCCTGACCAACTTCCCAGCACCATTTATTGAAGAGATTGTCTTGACTCCATTGTATGCTCTTGTTTCCTTTGTCAAATATTAATTAAGCATAATGGCTTGGGTCTATTTCTGGCTTCTCTGTTCTGTTCCACTGGTCTATATGTTTGTTCTTGTGCCAGTACCAGGCAGCTTTGAGAACTGTGGCCTTGTAATACAGCTTGATATCTGATATTGTGATCCCTCCAACTCTGTTCTTCTTTCTCAGGATTGCTGTGGTTATTTGAGGTCTTTTTTTATTCCAGATGAATTTTTGGAGAGTTTGTTCTAGGTCTGTGAAATATGCCATTAGTATCCTAATGGGGATGGCATTGAATCTATAAATTGCTTTGGGTAGTATGGTCTTTTAATGATGTTGATTGTACCAACCCATGAACACAGTATGTTCTTCCATTTGTTTATGTCTTCCTCTATCTCTTTTTTCAATGTCCTGTAGTTTTCCGAGTACAGGTCTTTTACCTCCGTGGTTAAGTTTATTCCTAGGTATCTTTTTTGTTGTTGTTGCAATGGTAAATGGGATTGTTTTTTTTTTATTTTCTGTGAGTTCATTATTGGTATATAAAAAAGCCGTAGATTAGTGGGTGTTAATTTTTTATACTGCTACATTGCCGAGTTCTTTTATTAAGTCTAGTAGTTTTTTGATGGAGTCTTTGGGGTTTTCTATGCATAATATCATGTATTCTGCTAATAATGACAGTTTAACTTCTTTCCAATTTGGATGCCTTTTATTTCTTCTTCTTGTCTGATCACTTTGACTAGCACTTCCAGTACTATTTCGAACAGGAGTGGTGAAAGTGGGCGTTCCTGTCTTGTTCCTGTTCTTAGGTTATAGTTTTTGCCCATTGAGTATGATGTTGGCTGTAGATTTGTCATATAAGGCTTTTATTATGTTGAGGTATGATCCCTCTATTCCCACTTTGCTGAGAGTTTTTATCAAGAAAGGGTATTGGATTTTGTCAAATGCTTTTTCTGCATCGATTGGTATAATTATGTAATTTTTGTCTTTCAATTTGTTTATGTGATGTATCATATTTATTGATTTGTAGATATTGTGCCATCCTAGCATCCCTGAAATAAATCCCACTTGC